CTTCACTAACGACAATCCATGCAGTGCATAGCCAGTTATATCACCTTTTTGCTAAGAATATTTCAGAATCAAAGGAAATTGGAAACTTTGAATAATCAGTGTTATTTAAACTGTTCTGTATGAACTACAAAGTATATTTCACAGCCAGCTCACATATTAATTCTGTAATATTCCTCCTATTCCAAGCCTCTAAGTAAATGAATTACTGTCCTGGCTTTCATACTGCCTTTAGCTAAATGTGTCACATTGCCAAATGGCTAAATATACAGCTTCAGAAGTCACAATTTGTGTTCATTAGCTATCCACTGCCTACATTGTTTATTATATTTAGAAGTAGCAACAACAACTTTCCACCTTCATTTTTAATTCTTAGCTTCTTGCATTAGACTATTTTGCTGGGGGATGGAGCTAGGTGATGGAAGTAGATAACCATCTTCTTCAAATTTCCAAATTATTAGTAAAATAAACGTGTTTGGAACAATTGGACAGTGTACCTTGGGATGAATAGATTAAACCAGAGCATTTTCATTATGTCTGGCAATCACCCTTTTATCTCATCTTGTGATGAACATCTGTATTTTTTGGCACGTTGTTAGGCTATAAACATGGGGTGGTTTTGAACAAACTCTCAATTATAGTTCTGCTCAGATGAGATTTCAAAATCATGTTTTCTACTTTGTGGATGATATTTACTGTTACGGTAGCAACTGTATGAAAAAAATGTCTAATGCATTTAATATTCAGTTCTGGATTCATGTATCAATTATTTAGCTAAACCTTCTGTTAGTAAGTTTTTTTGTAAAACATGTACCAAATGTTTATAAAAAGGGAAAGAGATTCATCAAGTCACAGTAGCTAAAGCTGTGCTAAAAAGAAAAAATGAACATATGTTACTAGCAGTGTTTCTCATATTTGATGAGTAAAACCATACTCTATTTTGTTGCAATTGTCTTTCCTTGTACAAATAAAGGCCCTGATCCAATAAGCATTTATAAGTGTGATTTTGATTTACACTATTTAATCTACTTCTGTCTTTAAGACACTTTTGCATTTATCTGAGGGGTCCTGGAGGAGATGGGAGACTGGTCTGTAACCATGTACTTAACTTTTGGCTCATCAGGAGTCCACAGAGTTCCCATGTCTAGAGCTCAGCACACGCGGTAGCATTGCAGAACAGGAGCCAAAAGTAGGAAAAAAGCCCAAGTAATAAAAAAAAGAAGTTGATTTCCCCTCCACCCCTGTCCTCCCAGTGAGTGAATCATTTAGTGTTGGTCTGTGGCTCTGACTGCGGCTCTGGCATCGTTCCCGTCGCTGTTACAGCCCCTGTTCCACTTGGGAGAGTTTTCAGGAAATTGTGTTGTCATGGATCCTTCTGCTCAGCTCCGATCTGCTCCGTGCCCAAAGTCCCCTGTGCAGGAGAGTAAGAAATCCTTGGTGGGCCCAAACTGCATGAGGCACAAAAGGCTATAAACTCTGTGCAACACCCCCCAATGCTTCCCTAATTATTCCACTGTATCATCTTAAATAAGGTTTAAAAAAAAAAGAACAGAAGCAAATTCAACACTTGAGGCATAAGAAGGTGGGGACTGTGCTCTTCTAAATTGGTCTTTCTAAACGTCCGTGTTTCTTAGTCGTAATCCAGACTGTCTAGACTTACCAAGTTAGAAACAGGCATGTTTTCCTTCAAGGCTGAGCAATTTAATTCAGACAGGGTTGGGTTTTTTTTCCCCATTGTTTATTTTACTAAACTAGAACTGTTTTGAGGATGGCAGACACCTATCAGGAAGAAATGAGGCTAAAGTTAGCAACAAGAGATGTGCTGATCGGTAGCGCTGTGCCTAGGATCGCCACTGCAGCTGCTCCCTTCCTACGTGCGTTGGCCATCTCCACGTGGTTCAGGTTCCACCTGTGGAAAGGAGAAGTGAACAGGCAGGAAAAGGAAATCAGGTCCAGAGACAGGGCTGTCAGTGGGCAGCTCCAGCCCGGAGGCAGTGTGAATCATCTTATGCACATGAAAGTCGAAATAACCATCTTAGCCATAGGTTGGAAAACCCTGTTTCAGAGAGTTCTCAGCAGTGACTCTAAGGGGTCAGTTTTCTGGCCTAAGGTGTTTGAACGATGTGAATTATTTGGATTGTTTTAACAACACAGACAAAACAGTGAGCAGTCAATGTTTTTCACTTAGCTTCTGTCAGAGGGTTTTTGGAAATACATCCAAACAAGCTAAGATCTGAATAAATATCGAGTAGTTGCAACAATAGATAGCAGCAGCAACAACTGCTTGCAGCAACATTTAATGCTTTTGAAATTAATGTTCATTGCTTACAGCTGATAGATACGCTTTAGAGATAAACACGCGTTTGCCAGAGATCCTGAAGCTTAGGCACCCTGGGACTGGCCCTTGACCTGGCCCTTGGCTCATGGAAACTTTCTCATCCACACTGACACCCTGTCACTGACACCGGCTTGCTGGCTGGTGAGCGTGGTGGGGGGCGCAGGCTTGCTCCCCTTGCCCCTGGTTACAGGAGTGCTGAGCACTGCGAGGACTCTTCAGTGTCCCAGCGCCAAGCCTCTTGCTGTGGAAGGGAACTGCATAACCTGGTGTTTGCCAGTTGTCCTGAAACTCTGCTTAATACCAGATGAAGTGTGAAGAGTATGAAGAATTTTTCTTTGCCAATACTAATGCAGTTACCAGGTCTGAAGACAAGCATAGAGAAATAAATAAAAACCTGCTTATAGCTACCTGAACTTCAGCTCTGCTCTAGGAGCTTTCCATCAGCTGTGTAAGCAGCAATAAGCTGTTAGTATGCTTGTATAATTCTGTGGCTGGGAGCCAGGGCTTACGACCAGGCCACTCTTTTTCTCTGAAGAGGATCCTGATGTGGGGCTGTGTTTTTCAAGCCCTTCAACTCAGCTCTATTCAGATTTAGATTTTATCTTGATAACGAGTCAGAAAAAGGGTCAGAACTTCTAACCTTACCCTGAAAAACTTTTAATTTTATCTGCCAATGTTACCACCTTGGTGTGGCAAGACCCCTCTTCTCTCCATGCAGTAAAGAGAGGTTGTATGTGATTATCACAGAATCACAGAATCGCTCGGTTGGAAAAGACCTCTGAGATCATCATGTCCAACCGTTCCTGTCTACCCACTAAACCATATCCCTAAGTACCTCATCTACCCGCTCTTTAAATACATCCAGGGATGGTGACCACCACCTCCCTGGGCAGCCTGTTCCAGCTTCTGACGACCCTCTCAGTAAAGAACTTCTTCCTTATCTCTAACCTGAACCTCCCTTGGCACAGCTTGGTGCCATTTCCCCTTGTTCTATCCTCCATCACCTGGGAGAAGAGACCAGCACCCACCTCTCTACAACCTCCCTTTAGGTAGTTGTAGGTGGTATCTGCGTCACTAGAAACAAATTCCAAGGAAAGTATTTTCTTCTGCCTGACAGGACAAGGTTTGACTCTGTATAATCCTGCATTATATACTGAACCTGGAGTTTAAATAAATAAATCATTTGAATCATGCTTTACAGTTTTCACTGTATGCTTATACACACGTCCTTCAATTTTACCTTTTGCTCAAGACTAGACATGATAGTAATCCAAATATTTTGGCATGAAATTGGGTTTGAGAAATACTCCTTAACAATTACGAAGTTTAATTTTTTTCAGTTTTCTATCAGTTTTCCACTGAATATTTGAAGTGTTCGGGTTTTTTGCCAAACCCATTGAAGTGTCTATTTAGGTGAACCAGTAGATTTACATGTATTAAAAGATCTGTTTTAAATTTTTCGTTTGGTGAGAGAAAGAGAGAAACTGTTCCATGCAGCAGATGTATAACAGATGCTACTCCTAGCACGTACTGCACTACTGGACGATGGCCAGATGCAGTGGTGATAGCATAGCTATTACCATGATAGAGCAGAATAAAAGAGAGAGATGTAAGTAATGTGTTAGATTCCCCACCCACTGCCTTGTCCACACAAATGAGAAGGAGGAGAAAATTCTCAAGTCTGTCAGCTATCTGCATCATCATATACAGTCCCCACAACCACCCACTTTAAAAAATAGCAGAATAATAGTTCACATTTGAATATGCTAAATACTGTGAAGTCTGTCCCATCTAAACTGCACCAAGGCTCAGAAAATCTGAAATACAGTTGTAAAAACCCACCTTCTTTCCGTCTTCATGTCCCAGGATAAATTTGCCAAGAGTGCACAGCTGCAGAAGCCTACTGAAATCAGTATGGCGGGCAAGGGGAACTCATCTCAGCTAACTTTAGCCATCAAGAAGCCAAACACCAAGGCGAAGCCAGTCATCTAGACTCTTTTCATAGTTAACAAAAATAAAGGCACCTCTAGAACACATTTGTCCTATGTATCTTAGTTTGAGCTGAGATAAATCCTGCCCATAGTGTTTGAGGTCATCTAGTCAAGTGGTGGCCCAAACATTAAACTCATCTCTTGACTTCAAGTGTTGAGTTTTGTCATTTGACCTCTCATCACTTCCTTTGGAAAGTGAATCCGAGAAAGCAGACGGATATTCTTCTAACAGTAGAGAAGATCCTTCCTGTCTGAAAAATACATTTTCATTTTGCAAGGTAGGAAGCTATTTTTGAGACAAATCACCAGCTAGAGGTAGGGGGGAAAAAAGCTTCTGGTGGTAGTTGTCCCTCTGGGCACACCCTGCTTTGGAAAGCAGAGGAAATGAACAGTTACTGTAACTGAGTTATGCAAGGTATAAATATCCCTTGTGTTCTATGCGAATTTGCCTTACTTGACTAATCACAACACAAATCTCACCTGCAACTCTGAAAGTTGTCTTAAAAAAAGAAGAGGCAGTGTCCTTTAAACATTAATCATTTTCACGTGCAGAAAATGTGACTGTTTTTGTGTGATAGCGTTTTAAAACAGAAATCATTGCACAGAATACAGAATAAATTCACTATGAACCTTCTAAAATAAATGAACCTTAATTTATTTTGTATTTTTTAAAGGTCAAATGCTGCAAATACTGGCCGGACGACACAGAGATATATAAAGACATTAAAGTTACCCTAATAGAAACAGAGCTCCTGGCTGAATATGTGATTCGAACATTTGCAGTAGAAAAGGTAAGTTTTCAAATTCAGTTTTCTTAAATACAATGGTATCTGCCTAAGTAAGTTACAGATTCAACATGGGAAAGTTAAATCTTTTGACTGACATCCCGGTTTTGTAGCTGTTCTTTGGGTAAACGACTACCGCCCTCTTATGGTAGACTTTGCGTTTGTTTAAATGCAGCGACTTTTCTGTGCTTTCCATCACTGTTGTACTCTGCCTGAGTTAGAAAAAGTGATGTTCCTTGCCCAGGAGAAATCGAAGCCTCCCTCCCAGCAATCAATTGAAAAACACATTCGTGCTGTTTTCCCATCTTATGTTCCCCACAATCGTTTTTTGTCTGTACCAGAGGCTGCATGCACCATTATTCAGAAGCCGTTGGTGGAGAATGCTGTTAATCTGTTGGGCCGGCGTGTTCCAGGTCTGCAGGGACATAGTTGAAACAAACAAATTTTCTTCTCAAGGCAATTTCAATTTTCAAGTGGACTCCATTTTTATATGGAGAGTTCCAATCAGCGTGTTGCATTACTGTTCATTAGAATAATGCCATGAATTTGTTGGATTCTTCCTAGATATTGTAGCTCTCCCAAACAGCTTGCAATGTATGGATGGCATACAATTAACAAATAAGGTACTTACTGAAAGTGAGAACAAGCAGGGTCAGTCAAAGCTGAAGTGTGTCATGATGAAATAGTATTCACTAATGGTTTTGAAGAACATAATCTTTACCACCAAAGGCTGTTGCACGCAGGTTGATGAAACTGCCAAAAAGATGGCCCAACAGAGTCTCTGTACATACATCCACAGTAACAAAAGACACAGGTTCTTTCCTGTTTTATTCTTCAATCTAATACTTAAATATGCATCAATACAGCAACCTAAGGGTAATGATAATAGAATTACGTGCTTTGAATGAACTGAAATATTGTATCATGTTTACCACTATACATATTGTACGTCTAATTCATTCAAGTCTGTTGTTTCCTTGCATTTAGATATTTTTAATAAACAGATGAGAAACGGTGGCTACACTTTGAAGTAGATGAAGCGCTGGTTGATTTCTATTCTGCACATTTTAAGCCCATGCTTTGATGTCAGCTTTTCATTTCTTAACTGGGACTGGAAAAGAAGACCTAGAGGATTTTACAGTTGATCATAACCAAACTGTCTTGAATAAGTGCATTAGAACAGATAGAGATAAAAGGCACTAAACATTTTATTTCTTAAAAAAAAGATTTCATTTAGACTCTGCTTTTTAATAGTTGGTAGTTTTTCAGTAAGCCTCTAAAAGCAGTGTCAGTGTACTTTGAGTAAAATACATTTGTTTTTACGCTATTTTCCATATTTTTTAACTCTTCCAGTGGTACTGGAAGGTCAAGTCTGTCTCTCTTCCACCATCTTTCTCTCAAGTTTATATTTCTGATCTACTGGGTCTGATACTTTTCCAAGAAAAGCTGCACGGTGAGGCAAAGTGCACCCTAACCAAATCTACAGATAATAATAAATGAAGGATGATGTTGAAATGCTGAATATTGGAGCCTTAGTTCCAAAGAATTTGAAGATTTGGCCAACAGAAAGTTCAGTAATATAACAAGGAAAAATGCAAAGTTCTGTGCCATAGGTGGACTAACCCCATGTGTCAGTACAGGCTGTGACATCCCGGGACAAAATCTGATATCCAAGATGGTTACAGATGTAGGACATATGAGCTTCAAGGGGGGGTTAAGAGAGCTGGTCTTGTTGGGTGTGGTAGAGATGAGGAGGAGGGGTAAAGAGGATCTAACTGCAGCCTGTGACTGCCTCAAAGATGTTTAGAAAATCAGGAGCATCAAATTGTCCTCATTCTTCTCGATGGTAGTGGATGGTAAAACAAGGGACAATGGCTATGAAGCTGCACGGAAGGCTTGCACTGAAAAAACTCCTTCAGGAGAGTAGTGCAGTGCTAAAGCAGGTTACACAGAAAAGTTGTGGACTCTCCATTCTTGGAGATCATCAGGGCTCAGCTAGACAGAGCCATGGGTGACCTGATCTGGTGTTAGCCATAGACCCACTGTGATTGGGAGGTTGGACTGAAGACCTAAATACAATTTAGAAGTTGATTTGTTTGGAAATAAATTGATCATTTATTTTTATTTTTTTTAAATGAGTATTTGGTAATTATTAAGGAGTAGGGGGATAATACTAAGAAAATGGAACCCCAAATTACACTCTGATTCTCAAGGCCACTTCCTAGATACACTTTACATTGTGTGCATAAGCACTTCCTTTGGAGCAGTTCCTTTACAGCACAACAGTTAACTCAGATGAATTACTCAGGTAGTAACATACAGCAGCACCGTAAGTATTTGTAGGATTGGTGTCTACATTTTTTAATGTCCTAGGGTTTTTTAGCAATGTACACCATTTTCTGTTTGTTTCAACTGAAAGAAAAAGGAAAAAATACAGTTTTTCCAAGCTGAACATATGCTTTTATGATTCATGCAGTTGTGTTGCTATTTTTGGGTTTGGAAACCGGCAGGGAAGTTACAGACATGAAAATCATTCTTCTGTAGGTATAAAAAAGTGCCCTATATACATAACCTTTCCTAAGTAGCTGTTGCCAATGGTAGACAAAAATGCAGTCAGCATGACAGACAGCATTTTCAATACTAATGCACACAATACACAGGACATATCCTGATACGTGCAACAGCTGAGCAGATTATTTTGGAAAGGCAGTTTACTTTTTGTAAATTGCTTGAAAATCAAGGCTGCATACAGCATGAAAAATTTGCGTGGGATACTTGTTTTAGTCCTCAGTTTGTGTAGTCACGGCATTGCTTTTTTGTATGGGATCTTTGTTCCTTGGGGGATTGTGGGCAGTTGTTATGAGCAATATATAAGTCTTTGGGACATGGATACCCCACCTACACACAGATATTTACAGAGTTGGAGGTCTTACTTACAATAGCAAAAAGATGTGTTAACTAACACCCTTTAAAATCCCCAGAGTACAGAGACCAAATTGTATGTGTTTGCTAGACTGTCTTAAAATACAAATTACTTTGTCTGTTCCTGGGTTTCATTTCTGTTGCAAGGGTGTGATCTCCTCAGTCTACACCAGTAGACCATATGCTCTTCATCTTCTCTTTTGCCTGCCTTTTTATGTGGCAGTTTCCAATGGAGATGAGCGTGGATATTCCTCTGAGCAGATGCCCAGTCTTCGCAGACCCCCAGCCTGAGCTGTCAGAGCATTCAGACTCCAAGATACACCAAGCCCACTCCAGTCACGTAGCACTGGCATGGCCAAAATTTCTCAACCATTGAAAATCCCAGACTCTCCTAGTTTGCATACTAGCAATAAATTAGGAAGTTTATATTACTTCATTATGCAAAAAGAATTGGACCTTTTATATGCAAACCAGCTAAAGACAGGAAATACATCTTTAAGAAGAAAAACTGTAAACCACCAGTTATTAATATCACTAACATTTAGTCCAGCCTAGACATGATATGTCATAATTTTGCTGTTTGCTTATGAAATATGTATGATGGCCTCTGGTCTGTGGATTTCTAATGAGAATAAAATACTGGCGGCCTCTACATTTTTAGAGGGGGAAGGGGAAATACAAGCACTAGGAAAAGCAAACTTAGCATACACATCTCTAATATCCAGACTGCTCCAGAAAGTCACATGGGAAATTACATATACGATCGGCTTCTCATACATACCTGTCTTACCATATCCATGCTCTTGCAGTCTGTGGCAAATCACTTGAAGGGTGAGCATGTAGAGGGCTACAAATGCAGCCCCTATGATTAGAGATGCAACAAGATTTCTCATTATTCTTCTGTTTCTTTCAGACCAATGAGGGAGACAAATGACAAGGAAAATTACGCTGAAATTGTAGTTCCCTGAAGTTAGCAGCAAAACTCCTGTGGAGAGCAGTGGGGAAAAAACGTCATCTGTGCTATATGTACATGGCTTTGCTGCTGACCTGTTCTGTGATCATGGCATGCTTCTTAAGGCCACCATTTTCAAAGCAGCCTAGTTCTTAAATATAGAGATGAGCGTCTATCTTGTTGCTAAAAGTTTCTAACCAATCTAGTGCTAAATTACTCAGTTTTGTTGTAAGGCTTTGAAACCAGTTGATATGTAACCTTTGAACTTGCCCTCCTGCTATGAGAAAGCTCTCCAACAGTCTATGCAGATATGAGTATTGGTAGGGGGTAGATGTTTTGCAGCAAGGCTCAGGCTTTTGAAGTTACATCTTACGATGTCTCTCATCCAATTTCCTTCACATTCCAGCTAAGCTGTTTTTTTTAAAACCCTTGTCTTTTCAACAGAGAGGTGCTCATGAGATTCGAGAAATTCGGCAGTTTCACTTCACTGGCTGGCCAGACCACGGTGTACCGTACCATGCTACAGGCCTGCTGGGGTTTGTACGGCAGGTCAAATCCAAGAGCCCACCGAACGCTGGCCCTCTGGTTGTTCACTGCAGGTAGGCAGAACAGAAATGCCTCCATTGTGCTGGCCGCTAAACTACTTTTGCTTCTCCTGTACAACATGGGTTGCTGGAGCCAATGGAGCTCTACCCACAAGAACTTATTACCAAAAATATAAGCAAGAATAGCAAAACCGAGTCTGAAATCCTGCAAATGCCTATTCACTGGCTGGCCAGACCACGGTGTACCGTACCATGCTACAGGCCTGCTGGGGTTTGTACGGCAGGTCAAATCCAAGAGCCCACCGAACGCTGGCCCTCTGGTTGTTCACTGCAGGTAGGCAGAACAGAAATGCCTCCATTGTGCTGGCCGCTAAACTACTTTTGCTTCTCCTGTACAACATGGGTTGCTGGAGCCAATGGAGCTCTACCCAAGGAACTTATTACCAAAAATATAAGCAAGAATGGCAAAACCGAGTCTGAAATCCTGCAAATGCCTAAATGCAAGACTTAATTTCAGTAATCATCTCACTGATTGAGGACCTGCTAGCTAAACCCTTGCACTTTACATTTTCCAGTACACTGCTGAATATTAACTGTGCTCTTCTTTTACTTTAGTGCTGGTGCTGGCAGGACCGGGTGCTTCATTGTCATTGACATCATGCTAGATATGGCAGAGAGAGAAGGCGTTGTAGACATATACAATTGTGTCAGAGAGCTGCGATCTCGGAGAGTTAACATGGTGCAGACTGAGGTATTGTTCATCTACTGAAACACTGCCTTACACTTTGCAAGAAAAAAGTATTCTTCTAGTCCCTAAAACTAGAGCCCTTTTGTGCTAGGCACCACCCAGAAGGTAGTTTGTTCAATCATACGCAGAAAATAATCCACATGTAAACCTGAAGAACCACTGCCCAAACAAGTACCCAGTTATACTACATTTCAGGTTCACAATGTATTTTAAAAAGACCCAAAAATCATGAATGTTTCTTCTCTGGGGAAGATTTGTTCTGGACTACATCTTGTTAAGGCTCAGTTATGTGGTAACACCTACAGAACTGTGCAGAGGAATGAGGAAACCAGAAGCATTCTGAGTTTTATTACAGAGTGTTACTGCACTTCTGTTTATGCTTGTAACTAGTTTGAGTCAATCCTTTTATATTAATTTCTAAATGAATGGGATAAAGTTTTGCAAACTGCTGTTGTTCCTTCTGGTCTTGCTTCAGCACCAGTAAAGTCAAGGAGAATTAGTGGCAACCATGTTAGTTGCTATTTTTTATTTATCAAATTACTAATGGCATATGCTCTCTATGTCAGTAATTATTTTAATTGCTTTACCAGGAACAGTATGTATTCATCCATGATGCTATCCTGGAAGCCTGTCTTTGTGGGGATACATCTATTCCAGCTTCTCAAGTTAGGTCTGCTTACTATGAAATGAATAAACTGGATCCTCAAACTAACTCCAGCCAGATCAAAGAGGAATTCAGGGTAAGTTGTGGTTAGCAGTACCTAGAAGCTATACAGTTCAGCTATACTAAAGACTTCTACTTAAGTGCTTGCTTATAGCCGTGTGAATTTTGAACCAGGCCTGGGAGGAAAATACTGAAGAAAAAAGAGGAAAAATAACATGTCACTAATTGCTATTGAATTATGCATAATCATAAAAGAAAGCAATAGGTTAGTAGTAAAATAATCTTTTTACTGAAGGGAAGTATGTAGAACCTTTCCACTGTCCTTTCTCCAAGAAGTCAGGTTACTCTGCAGCTGTCTTTGGAGTTATTTTTCAAACCTGTATGGTTCCAGGTTTTTTTGCTTCCAAATCCTGCTGACTGTGATGTGTTTTCATTTCTTTGCATATTGATTCCCACTGAAACTGAATGCTGAGCTGATGTATTCTTAAATATTTTGGGATGCTTTCACTGCTGTGTTAATTTTTCTGTTGTATTGTTTACTCTTTTTGAAAGACTTTAAATATGGTGACTCCGACACTGCGTGTAGAAGACTGCAGCATAGCACTTTTACCACGAAATCATGAAAAGAATCGCTGTATGGATGTTCTGCCTCCAGACAGATGCCTGCCTTTTCTCATAACGATAGATGGAGAGAGCAGTAACTACATTAATGCTGCACTGATGGATGTAAGTCTCCACTACATCATTAATAATAAAAAGGGAATAAGCAACCCTCCAAACTGAGCAATGCCGGAAAGTGGAGTCAGCATAAGAGGAATGAAATCCTTCTAGCTTGTTTTCCAGAAACATGGCACAAAATCTTTAAACTCCCAAGTACATTTAGGATCCCACATATGTTATGTCACAGCCATGCCAGAGAGCAAGTCAGAGAGTTTTGATAAATTAAATGTGTCTAGATTTCTCCTTAGTGCTTGAATTTTTTAACCATCTGGCCTAGGGAAAAAGTTACCTATTAAGACACTAAGGCAGTTAAATAGGATAATAAGATTTGCAGCAATATTTTAGTTCTCTTTGTTTCTAGTTTAAACAGTAATTAACAAAAAAAATTGTTTGTCAGCACAAGATAGTACACAAGCCATTACTTCAGTCTTTCGATTTATTTCTGTTTGAATGAATGGTTCCTCTTCATGTGTATGGAGAGTTTTTTCCTAATGCATCTATGGTAATTCTAATCCTGCTAATAGAATATCAGTAAAAAGACACTTAAACCGCCTTTACAGTCTGTAGATATTTATAGTCTATCTTTGACAATTTAACGCTATAGTAATTATAGTTGTCAAACACATAAACAACAAGAAAACAGAGGTTAGCAAAGAATGAACACATTGTAAATAGCCTTTTTGAAAAGTAAAACTAGAGTAATAACAGTTTATAGCAGTTTCTGCATTTCTTTTCTTCCTGGTTCTCAAATCATTTTCCTAAAATAAGCCTAAGTTCAAAACACTCCTGTGAAAAGGGAAGTGTATTAACTT